AACCCCAGAAACGGGAACTATTCATAATGCCGGCCAACCAAATTCTACTTTTCTCACATTAAGTGATGATTCGCCGCCACTCCAATTTTCAAGTCATCAAATTGACTACGAAGCTCATATAGGTACCAAATTGGACTATATTCTTTTTTATAGCTTCTACATGCTCAGAACGGCCGAGTTAGCCCTTCTGCAAAATCAATGTGAGCTAGAACGCTCCTCAATATTAAATACTTTAATGCTTTCACTTGAAAGCCCACGTTTGGCTGGCTATATTCTAACCAAAAACCGCTCTATGTTCTTAGAGACCAATGGCAATGTTGCCTGGCTCTATCATTGTCCAAAATTTTATTCACCTTTGCAATTAATGGATGAATGCTATAATCGCATTCCCATTGTGTATAAGGAAAACATTCGATTTGTCGATCCAATTACGCGACAAACTTTTCAGTCGGCAGATCTACAAGACTGCTCCGACAAACATTCGAATCTCTTTCAACTAGATGTTGATGATGATAAGTCCTGGATTGAATTAACCCCTCAAATTACAAGGGTTACAGGACCATATCTCTTTGAACCAAAAGAGATAATTCAAAAGATTAAGCATTCTTTAGCCTCTAGCCAAGGCGCTTCAATCTACACTTATGCTCAAATGCAAAAATTCTGGAATATGATTTCCGATAATTCAGAGATGAAAGGAATACTGCAAAAAGTATCCAGGTCCTTTCTAAATGCTAAAAAAATTCTTTTCAAGGACTCATACAGCCCACTAGGCTCTTCCCAAACAATCTATTTGGACTATCTCATCTCTCCAAACTTTTGGAAAAACGAATACACCCGTATATTTGGAAAAGTACAATACTATTTAGAAAAATGCGGAATAGTCTTCGCCTCTTTTCTATTTGTGAAATTCATACTAGATTGCCTAGTATTCATAATAAAGGCTATGCATATTCAGAAAATCACCGGCCGCTCACTACATTTTGGCAAAGTATTGCTTGCCGCTTCATATAATATACTTTTCACTTCCATAGTGACCTCAATTTTCACTCAAGATGAGCAAACTGAAAAAATAGAACAAGAATGTGATCAGAAAATACAAGCCCCTCTTTTAGAGGAAATTGATAAAATAAACCAGGATCGCATGTATCCTCATATCCAATTAACAAGTTTTGAGAGAAGAACTCAAAACTTGGATCACCCAACAAACCCAGTCTAATAAAAAAAATTCTACTGTTCTAGGATATACCAACTGATTCAACTATGGACGCAACACTTGATGACGACTTGAGAGATTTCGAGGATCTCCTCTCACTTCTGCCACCAACTGATCCACTGGACTCGCAGATTTCAGCATTCACTCAACAACCAACTGTTTCTACTACTACAACACCCACTGCAAAGCCGACCTCAACACGATCCTTCGTTGAGCCACTACTTCAAACCAGTTCAGCTGTCCCGATAACTACAGCATCACAGCCACCACCCCTAAAAATTTCACCCCCTGATTTTAAAATACCCCTGGTTCCCTCGAATTCTAAAATTAAAAAACGGACCCAGATTGTAAGACCATATAAGATACTAACGGCAAATACGCCGGTATCAACTTCTCATTGTCCAATGACCATTAGGCGACAGCCCTTGCACCCCATTGAATTAAACACTAAATTACATATTCAGTTAGAAAGGGAACGATACATTAATTCTAAAAGCAATCCTGGCTTCGATATGGATCTCAAATATGCTTTGAATCCATTAATCAATCGTTTTAAATTAGAAGCCTATCACCCTATAAAAAAAATGTATTCCATAAATAATTCCCTTCTTGAATATCAAAAAATCTACGTCCCAGCAAAATATCTGACAGCAAAATTACAAACCCCCCAGTTAGATGACTATACTGAGCAAATTCAGCGCAGTCATATACATGAAACGCACCAAATCCGGGAGCTGAAAAAGCAAATCCACAATTTGAAAACAAAAAATCACCAACTTATAGCCCGGGTGGAAGGAAAATTGTAAGAAACATTTATTCTTTCGCTTTATATAGCTATGTAGTATAGCTATTGATTTCCTTTCTCAACAATTTTGACTTTTATAAAAAACAAAAAACACAAAAATACCCCCTTTGTATGAACCAGTCCTCCCCTTATTACGCGTTTGGACAGACTTCACATACTTCAGGAAGAAAAGGAGACTTCGGAAAAAGAATGTTTAAGGAATAAAACTAACCTTCAAACTTTTGAGAAACAGATAATTTTGATGTATTTAATTTTATAGTTAAATCCCTTGGTTGTGTAAACTCTATTTTGATTTATAAATGTAACTGATGTATTTATTTATTCAAGCCTGACTCAAAGTATCAGTTGATTAAAAACATCTGCTACCTGTAATACCAATAAACTACTAACCAACTTTATGAGATTGAAAGAAAAAGCTTTTGTTCAAAAACATCTGCTACCCGTAATACCAACAAAACTTTATGAGATTGAAAGAAAAAGCTTCGATCGATCAACAATTACCCCGCTATTCAAGTGAAAGTAATAAAAATGAAAGTTTTAGTTTTTTTCCTTCTCCAAATAGGAGGATGGATATGTTCTGATTTCAAATAGAAACAGAAACATGAATTATTTTATTGCGTTCACAAAATGTGACGCCGCCACCACCACCAAAGAAATATGTTTTTATTCCCTTGCAAAAGGAAGGGAAATGCTATTGGAATAATTCGTATAACGTTTTAAGCATTGAGAATTGAAACGACTATTCTCATTCAATACGAATAATAACGATTCCTCTCGTAAAGTACGAGCATACGAAACCTTCTTCTCGTAAAATACGAATGTACGAATAAAGAATACGAAGTTAAAAGAAACTTCTCATTTGATACGAAAAGTGGCGTGATTTCCCCATCTGAGTATAAATAGAAGCTCAAAACTACGGGAATTCATTCCCAACAATTTCTCTTCTAACACCACAACCTCCCTCTCTAATATCCCAACAACTTCTCTTCTACCACCACCACCACTCTCCTCAACCACCCCAACCCTTCTCTAAAATAATATTCAATCTCAGAGAATAATATCTCCAATCTCACCGTAAAAAATAAATATTGAGTCAAAAGGCAACTTGCTGTAAATTCATACTAACTTCTTTTTTTAATAAAATATTTCTCAGCGAATTTTAGATTTACTTTTAGATTTACTTTTAGATTTACTTTTAGATTTACTTTTAGATCTAAGTAAGTACTTTTAGATTTACTTAGATAGAAAGTAGAAAGGACCCTTTATTCCTAGCAAGCGTTTTGTCCGACGTAAATAGTTTTTGCTAGCGTAATAACGTTCCTCAAAAGTAGGAACAAAAAACAATTACAAAATTTTTGCTTGTAGAAATCTTCCTGTCATGCACAATTGCAAGTAACACATTATGAATATTGCGACCGGTGAGGCACCATTTGCATCAACAAGCATAAGTTAACCCATATTGGAATGATTTGTGAGCCGGATCAATCCACTGACTACTCTATGAGCTAGAAAAAAAATCATTCAAAATTATCAAGTAAGAAATCAAACATTACCTGAAAAAACCCAAAATTAAACGTACGAAAATTGGAAAAAAGAAAAAAATTTACCGATATAATTTTGATAGTAGGTAAAAGAATGCGCTACGCAATTGATATGCCAAGTGATATGGCTGCGTAAATAAACCAGATGACACTCTATTATTTTCTCAAGAGGCGGAATTTCATTAAAAAACTAAAACTTCGTTTTTTTTCGGATTTTTTTCCAAAGCACTATAAGACGCTCTTTCGACAGGCTAAAGCAGGCCAAAAAGTCGGGCACTATTTTGAAGCACTATAAGACGCTCTTTCGACAGGCTAAAGCAGGCCAAAAAGTCGGGCACTTTTGAAACGTTTCGCCTATAGAATTGCGTTTTTTGGCGCGCGCCCCCTTAATCTTAGAATAGTTTTATATCGTCGTCAAACGCTTCACTCAAAAAAATTATATGGTCGACCGCACGAAAATTAGGCGTCATGAGTTAATACCAAACGGGGACACTTTGAGTGGCGAATGCTTCAAATCCCTGAGGGAGGCCGTCCATTCCCGTCCTGTGCCCACTCTTTTCCTTTAAAAGGTTTTTCTGGCATGTAGGGTGATACAAAAATTTTTGGATCTTGTAACTATCCCCCCCTTTTGCAATAGGATGAGAAATAGTTAATAAGGTACAAATTTCGTTTTTGCTTAACAGTTCAATTCTTTCTTTATAGGGGGAGATTCCTTACAAGGTACAATAGGGGGGAAATAGTTAACAAGATCCAAATCTTTTCAGTAAATGTGACCTTAAACTTGATCTTTTAGCGGTAGTGCGACAACTCGCAACAAAAGAAAAATTGCAAAACTTATAGAAAGCACTAGCAAATTTTAAAAATTAAATTAAACGCGACATTGGAAAGTAGCGATAGCTTGCTCAGCTTAGCCCATCTAGAAGAATGCATGCGCTGGTGGGTATTCGCAAGTACCAAAATGATAAATCAGTCCATTGTACCAAATTAAAAAATCAATCGCGTTAGTACCAAAAATATTCAATTTGCCAAAGACTACTAAGCCGACTATTTTAAGCTCTTTAGTTAAGCTAAAGTGTCAGTTGAAGCTTAAGCTAAAGTTTAAGGTCGCCGGTGCGGTGATAACCGGCTCTTATTTTCGTATAGACCAACAAGCACAACGTATGAGGTGAGCGCTCGCCCAAAAACACGCAGGTACCTTGGTCAAAACCTTTCAAAATGCTTGAAATGGCTTTTTGAAATCTTTTCTCAAAAAATCACCTGAGTCCTAGAGTTTTTTTTTGCTTAAATAGAGTCTTTGCACTGTTTTGGGAGTGGTCTGTAAATTAATTTAATCGGCTTAAAAGACCTAAGAAAGGTCAATTTTTCCAAATTCAACTCAAAAAATACTGTGCGCGCAATTGGCCAGAGAAGTGAGAGCTATTACTATAAAAACAAAACTCACTTTGGCCCATCTGGAAGATCTGGGCTCATCAAACAGCTTCCAGAGCGATATCTGGAATTTGGTCACCAGTGGAATTTTCGTTTTGTCCTTGATCATGTCCTCTGGGATTCCAAACTTCCGCATGATTTGGTCCTCATCCGTGTTCTCATCATTCCCGTCTATCTCAATTTTATCCAGGATAGCCAGGGTCTCTTGGGTGTCCCGATGTCTGGTGTAGGTCATCCAGCAACATGGTTCCACTTGATTCGAATCCAAACCCCAAAATCCAAGCTCCTCCTCGAACAGGGGTCCGCAGACATCAGTTGGGTAGTGTAGTTTACCCGTTCTGTAGTAGTTGAGAATTTGGGCGAACACTCCGGGATGTCGGTCAAAAAAGTACTCGCCCTTGACGGCGTCGAAGTTGATTAAGTTTTCGGTCAGCTTCGACAGTCGTGTGGCCGGGATTTTCTTCAGAGTCGCCCTCTGGGTTTCGTGTCTGACTCCGCCGACGTTTAAAATGACGCGACTTTCCCTTTGTTCGTCCGACTTTGCGACTAGAAGGTCTTCTTTGTTCATTTTCAGACCGGGAACATAACTCGGATTAAGTTTGTCTAAGGAGTTGATCCCACTTCACAGCACAACTAATCCGACCGAAACGCTTTTAATTACGCAGATTCTGCGGCGACAGGGAATTTGTTGTTAAGGAAATTAAAGGGGGCAACAAAAGAGCAATAAAGTATTTATAGCTTGATTCATTGGATTTTGAGGCCGAACTTCCCTGCTTGTGTGGTAATATTCACTATAATGAGATTCAATCAGTTGGTTTTGAATGGCTCAGATCTTACGGAGAAGGGGACCTTTTGTAGTAATTGAAAGGGATCAATTTATCCGGAGTATCATCGGGAATTTGCAAATAGAGCGATCGATATCAAATAAAAGATGAAAGCGCCACGGATATATTTCTCAACAATTCTTTGTTATTTTGAGAGAAAAAAAATCGGTTTGAAGTTTTTCACATCAAAAATATTTCAGCAATTTTCTGTAAATTTCGCTGCTTTGTTCCACATTTTATAAACATATGCCGAGTTATATCAAACTAGAAAATAAATAAAGGAAAATTGCAATCCAGTTGTGATAAGGTAAAATTAATTTAGCTAATGTTGCGTTACCATTAAGAACGAGGGAGTAAAGTCCAATTGAAATCAGTCATCTGAAAATGATTTGAATTTTGTCATTTTGCTCAAATTGAAAAAAAAACTAAATAATTGATAGATCTGAAAATCAGCTGCAGTTCTTTGTTGACGCCGTTTGCTGTTTTCGACTACCGGAAATAATGAAAAATGAATAATTCCGAACATGAAAAATAAAGGAAATACTTTCCTTCAGAGCAAAGGATAACATTTTGTAGTTGATGTCTTTTTGGTGGAGTTGGTATAGAGAACTGAAAATTGAGGAGGAGCAGCACATTCCCAGCAGATCTGTTCACTGCTAAGATGAATAGTTTCACCAACAGACTCAGCAGTCAAGTAAAATACCCGACAGGTCCTGAAACATAATTTTGACTGCTTCAGAGCAGATATCCTGGGTAATTTTCAATTCAATTTACCAATACAGTTCACAATAACTCAATCGAAGTGGCAATCAAATGACAAAAGTGGCAATAAAATGCCCAACAGAATGACTATTCTGCTGCAAATTTCACTTCACCTATAGACAATTAGGAATCATTCAACGAAGCGAGAAGATCCTCTCCAACTGAAACAAAAACGGATCAATTGAGCAATCTCCCCCACGTAATGACCAATTGAGTGAGCTAACCCCCCCCCAAAAAAAAATTGGTATAACGCTATAAAAAGACGTCAGAAAACGCAAGTAGATGGTTAATGTGTTCGTATCACGCTATCAATTGACTGACTGAAGTTTATTTTACATGAGTAACGAGAAAAATTTTTAAAAAGAAAAAATCGAAATTTAGTTCAAAATTTTTTTTTTGCAAATTTTTGTTTGGTGCTCTAGCCTTGTATCTGAATATCAAAAATTGCTCTCCGCAGCTCATTAAAATTGCTTTTTCCATTTAGGACAGAAAAAAGGCGCTAAAGTCGTCTCAGTTTCATTGGTTCTTTTTTCTCTCTGAATTTAATTTTTGAGCTTTGATATTGTAAATAATTTTGGCGTCCCACTATCGTTGAAGAATCTGATTTATGATTTCATATCATTCAAAAAATTTTGAAGTGGTTATAAATCGATAGATCGCGAGAATGGGGGGGGGGGGAGGAGATTGCTCAATTGATTCACAAAAACTAATGAAAACATTTCTAATTGAGCATTTTCGTGCTTTCCTTGAAAAAGTTTTTCTAAGAGAGCAAATTGAAGGAGGAATAAATATTTTCATTTCCACAATGACTTTTTAAATGAAAAATGAAAATGAAACAACTTAAAATACTATATACTTAAAAAGTCTTTGTGGAAATGAAAATATTTATTCCTCCCTCAATTTGCTCTCTTAGAAAAACTTTTTAGTACAGCAGTGAGAATTGACTTTTTCAGACCCATTAAACAACTGATCCCACCTATCGATTAGTAAATTCAATTGAAAAACACGAAGTTGGTAGTAAAATAGTCAAATAGTTCCAAATTTATATCTGATTGCGAGTCAGGGCGGAGACTTTGGACAAAATAATGGAAAGTATCAACAAACGAAGTGTCGTTCAAAGCAATCCCTGAGCCACTTGGAAATAATCAATAATGCCTTTATGCTGTAGAGGGACGGACATTTAGAGGGGAATAGTAGATATTGCTAAGTTGGTAAGAGCAGTCAATTGGGCTGGCAGTAGAATGTGAGGCCATAATTGAAGATCCGCTTGCTAGTCGGCGCCACTTTAGATGCCATATCCGATTAGATTGCCTACTCGCTTATCTAGATCCAGCTTAGCGAAGCGAAAACTTCAATGGCAAAGTCTAGTTTTCACACCAATATACATAGTTTGACAAAAAGAGAGCCATTTTGCTTTAGATGGTCGAATCTGCTCAAGTATTTTTGTAGCCCTTGCATAACAACGTTTTTCAAGTTTTCGATGCGGCTACAATATAAATCAAACAAAGCTGCAGGCAGTGGCGTGCTCAGAAATGTTTCTAGAGAACTAGAAAAACGGTTTTTCGAAAAATTTGAAAATTTTGTCGACCTTTTTTTAGGTCGACCAATTTGATTTTTCCGAGCTCTCAGAAAATACTATAAGGACTCTATTTCTTAAAAAATTTTCTGTGCCGTCGACAAAAACAGGCCAAAAAGGCTTTTTTAGGCACTTTTTGGAAAAATTTGACCGAACATTTTTTTTTTCGCCTTTAGAAAAATTTTGAGGTTGGTCAGCCAAAAATGGATGTCGTTAAATGATACCAAAGGGGGGACCCTTTGGAAAAAGTTTGGCAACCAGAATTGAAAGAAAGCCCCCCCCGCCCCCATCGGCACGCTACTGGATGTAGGTATCATGGTCAAGAAAGTCTAAGGATTCCTATAGTTTTTATAGGACGTTAAATTTCCCACAGAAATAGCAGGTACGATAAAAAGCAGTTTTTCCTAGACTAACTGCAAGAAAAACAATTGTCTACAGTTGAGAATGAGTTTTGTTTTTCAGTAGGCTGTTAGCACTAAATTTTTGACCACAAATGTTTGCTGCATTAGCACTGAATTTAAATTACTTTGGCAGGCATCACAAGCTGGCTTTCATTTTTGGTCAACCAGACAGAGTTATAGTCCTGAAGTTCATTATTTAGGTTGACGAGAGCTCACTTAACCAGAGCTCATTACATTATGACTTTTGCAAGAGTTCACCTTGCAAATTGAAGCGCACATTATATGATTGATGGGCACCATTTTACTACCGGAGGGCCACAATTATTGTCCGTCCACGTACAAAGTCATTGCGAATGAGAGGTAGAATTCTCGCATGGGTCGAGGTACTCGACTTATGTCTCGACTTTATCGACCCAGATTTGGGTATGTTGTAAGTTTTTTCATCGACAAAAAAAACATGCTCGAATTTGCAATCGGACTATTGACAATGGATCTATCTAAGAATGACTATAAGCCTAGGTTAGCTTGGTTCGCATACCTGAAAAAAATTCGAAAAAATGCGCTCTGCCTGCACGGACGAAAAAAGTTTTGAATTGATTTAAATTGATTTTAAATCGATTTCGAATTAATCCAAATCATTTAACAGTTTAATTTCACAAACAAAAATGGTTTTTAAATTGATTTATGTCGATATTTCCTGAACAATCTGGTTGATTTATGCGACTAATAAATCTATTTAAATGGTGAAAATACAAAACAGTCACTTACAAAACAGTCCAAAACAAAGTAGTCCAAAAAATCATGTTATGAAGGAAAAAACATTCGAATGCAAAATAGTCCGTCTGTCCGCTTCGCAGAAATAACCGACTCTAAATTTCGTATTAACTCCTACCCTCTGTTGGCAAGCTCTCGAACTGTTTTGTATCGGACTGTTTTTTTGTTCATTTTTGTATTTTTCCGGATTGATTTGGATTGGACTGTTTTATATGGGACTGTTTTGTACAGACTCGATTTAAATAGCTTGGATGGGTTTTCTGAATTTTAATTGAATCAATCCGAATCTTTCTAAAATGACTTTGAATCCATTTAAAAGGACCCATGAAATTGCAAATTAAGCTATTAAAAATAATTAAAATCGTTTTTTCTCCATTTATCAAATAAAAACACACCTGCCAGATAAATAGAAGCAATGACAAAATTCAATACAAATCAACAAAAATTATCAACTTGAACCAGATTTTGGGTAAAAACTTCTGTAAAAAATCAAGAATCAAAATAAATCCAATTGTGAGCTCAAAAAAGTAAAATGAACTTCTAGAAAGTTATCAAATCAGCTTTTGGGCATAAAATATGTAAAAAATCAAAGAAATGTTCAAACTAGAACAGATTAAGAGCTCAACAGATGCAAGGAAATCATAGACAATTATCAATATTTTGAATTATTTGGTTTTTATTGTGTTATCTTACGCTATGGATGTAAAAATAAAAATGATGGGCAATGAATTAAAGCAACACAAAATCGAAAACGATGAAATTCAAACAAAAAAGATCAATTTAAATCTATTTAAATCCGTTTTATCCCCGCTAAAAATAGAAACAAGGTAAGACGATTAATCAAAATTAAAATCAATTTGGATCATTTTTTAGCTGGGATTCAAGACCAGTTCAAATCAGTTTTAAGTTGATCCAGATCAGAATTAACTTCTTATATTTAATCTTCGTACTTTTTTCAAGCTAAAATTGATCTCAATTGAACCGATATATTTTTTTCTTACTGAAATTGATCCTAATCTATTTTCATCAGTGTGGTTAATATTTTGGTTTACAAAAACTTGGTTACTTTGCAAAAGGCAATAGCCCGGCAAGAGATAGTGATTAGCGCAAAAAAAGACCGAGGGGGAATTATTGGGAAAAAGTAAAATTTTATACCAAATTTAACTTATTCTTTAATTGATTTTGCTGCAAACATTTTTCAAGAATTTTTAGTTAAACTTGAAAAGCAACATAAGATCAGCTTTGAAGAAATACTAACGATTATTTTTTGACCATTAAATGTGTTTGTAAAAAAAACGTTAAGTCAACAAAGATCATCGCACACAGATTTCCATAAAATTTTACGCGGTTTAGAAGCACTTATTTTGCTCAAAAGATCTACGCAAATGGAAAACAACCAGAGAAGTCACTGCCTCATATTTTCTTAAGCTAGTTGTGTTCAATTTCTAAATATGCAGTTGTCAATTGTTTTATAAGCAATAATTAAATAAATTGTGAGGGTGAAGATAAAGATTTTACTTACTGTGCTCAACTGCAATAAACTTGGCGAAACACTCAATCGAAAAGATATTATATAAACCTAAAATGATAGAATTGAGTTACTAAAAATCTTTTGAACTTTTTGATCATAAAAAAACTAGTACTGAGTTTGAATAATTTTTGCGCGGTAGTAGTGCTTGGCTCAAATTTATTCCTATTAAACTTATCCTTTATCCCCGGGCGAGACTTATCCCTATTAAGTACTTTAGCAACTTCATTTCATTGTTGATTTGTTGATTTTTTGATTTCCAAAATTAAAATTTCTCTGAAATGCCAGCTTCAAATGAACGGATTACAACTGTTGATTTGTGTCCTTGAAAACTAAAGCAACAAAAAGTTGGTTATTCTTAAACATTTTTTGGTTTTTAATTTTTTGTTGGGTTTTGTTGGGTTTTGTTCTATTTGAGTGGTCACTTGAGGGTATGTTAGCCTGAAAATAGAAGAAAAAACTTTCAAGTTCTTTGAAACAGAAGTAAAATTTTCATTTTAAAAAGTTTTCTTGCCTTTGAAAAGCTCTAGCCATAAATTGAATTACTTTTTTTTTCAGCAACGAGCAATTGCTATTTATTTTCTACTTAAAATTATTTTCTTCAAGACCAAATCAATAATAAAAAGACTGTTCGGGTTGACCGAAATCCGCTATCTTGAAACTTTTCTTCTAAAAACCTTAGAGTTTTTTAACGATATTAGGCACTACGAATGTTACAGTCCGATGAAAGTTCCTCTGAAATAAATTTGCACAGAAAACTCTTAGTGGTTTAATACAAGAGTTTGTAACAATATGTAACCGAATCCCGTGTGCATCACGTCAGAAGCTATTCCTCAAATGGATCTTTGTTTGTTCCACAAACTATTTCAAACCGCTAAATTT